TCAAGCTTGTTCTGGAAAATCCAAGGCAGCAACAAGGACCTTAACATTTAATACACCCTTAATAAACATATGATATGGTTTCCGCTGCCTGTCTGTTCTGGGTTGAATTTTGATACAGTAGCTTTTTTCCACAAATGTTTGGGGATCAAACAGTTGGATGACCTTGGCCCTAAGCAGGATGACTTATTGTCTCTCAATAGCCCAGGTTTAGTCTCCAAGGTAACAAACTTCTCTGCTGGCTCACTGATGGCAGCAGCCAACATCAAAAGCCAGAATGGTCTGGATCTGCCCATGTGTTTTTATTTTTTTTTTACACGAATATGTCCTGAAAACCATCAAGGGGAGGCATCCAGGTGTGTCGGACCACTAGAAGGTTCCACTAACACCAAAATGACATTAAAGAACCAGAAATGTCATTAGATATTTGTTTTTTTCATTAGTTCGGCCTCTGTTTTTATTTTCTACATAAAATAGAAGAAAGTCTGTGCTTTCCCTTCTTAAAACTTTTATGTTTTGTCATTATTCTAAGCCTGTAGAGCATAAAGAATAATTGTCATAAAATTCAAATTATTCTAAACTAGTCGTCACTAAACATAGAATAAAAAATAACAGAACATCTGACTATAGCTCTTTGTTCAATGTGATCATTGGGCTTGTTTATTGAAACCAGAATTGAACATAACATTTTGATTTCCAAATGAAGCAGGTCAACACATAACAGTAGTTTTAATCATTAAGTAAGATACCAAAAAAGCAACATGCTCATTATTAAAGGTGATTACCGACCCATCTATATATATATAAATCTTTATCCTATTTGAAGGGGAAACCAGGAAGATTTCCAAATTTAATTTGAGCATTTAGTTTTTTGTCCACATAAGCATTCAGTGCAGCAGGAATTATTTGGTTAACATGCTAAAACACAGGATATTACAAGTAATTGACAAATACTTTTTTCAGGCAGCATTTTACCTAACATGTGACTAAGAATAAATTTGTCTTACGTACCTGCAAGCCCAATGAAGACTGTGAGGCCAAAGCATATCAGGAACACCACGAAGACCAGAACAAAATGTCTTTTAGACAAAGTATAGAGCCGCATGGGGGCCAGCCTGTCACAAAAAAAAAAAGTAATTAGATTTATAAAACACAAAAGCAATAAATATATTAAATCTGCTGTTTGGTTTGAGCCGGATATGTCAACACTACAGCGTCCATGTTACTTGAAGCTAACAGCCCTGCCAGATGTGGCGTTTAAACGCCTAACTTTAGAAAGTCTAGCGTCAAGCAGAATGTTCCCTGGGGGTGAGCGACACTTACCGCTCCATTTATTCAAGTTTACAAACTCGACAGAACGATAAAGTGATAGTTTTTCGTCGTGAATCCACATCCGTGTACCAACTGCAGCCTGCTGCTGCTTAGGAGTCTACGTCATGGAATGGGAAGGGCCTGAACCACGTGACCGGAGATTGAAGGAAAGAGTGCTTCGAAGGGTCCTAAGAAGATAGGAAGCCTATGCATCCTTTCATCTCATTCTCTGGGCGCATTTTTATTTTATTTATTTATTTATTTATTTATTTATTTATTTATTTATTTATTTATCTTTTATTTAAGCCTATTTTTAATATATGTCATTATAGCTATTACCTACGGTGGAGAAGATTAGGGCCACTGAAAAAAATACAAAAAAGTTACAGATTTTTAAATTTTATTACAGTATAATATGAGAAAATCTCTGATTTCTGACTTTAATCTCAGAATTCTAACTTTTTTTCTCTTGACTTTAATCTGAGAATTCTGACTTTAATCTCAGAATTCTCACTTTTTCCTCAGAATTCTTATTTTGATCTCAGAATTCTCACTTTTTTCTCAGAATTCTGACTTTAATATGAGAATTCTTACTTTTTTCTTAGAATTCTGACTTTAATTCTTTAGCCAGTAACACGTTGGTGGAAAAAGAAAGGAATTAGACAACTTCTTACGTGCCCGAGGGGTCAACGGTGATGGAGGAGCAGAAGATAATTAAAACATAAGAGCTAGTCTCCAAAACGGACATGGCTACAGCTTGATGCTAATGTTTGTTGGCTGTCAGAATTCAGTTAGAATTCTAAGATTCTGATATAATTCTGATAATAAAGTGACAATTCTGAGGAAAAAAAAGTCATAATTCTGAGATTAAAATCATAATTCTGAGAAAAAGGTGAGAATTCTGAGATAAAGTCAGAAATCTGAGAAAAAAGTCAGAATTCTGAGATTAAAATCATAATTCTGAGAAAAAGGTGAGAATTCTGAGATAAAGTCAGAAATCTGAGAAAAAAGTCAGAATTCTGAGATTAAAGTCAGAATTATGAGAAAAATTCAGAATATAATATTTTCTTAGCTTCTATACAAAGTTACGACCAATATATTTTTATTTGTTAATTTCTGGTTCATGTTTTATTGGATTATTAGACAAGTAATATGGCCAAAGGCAGCGACTATCACACATTTAAAACGATATGACTTAATAAAAGCACCTTTCGTTCATCTATTTGAACGTACGTGGTTTATCATACTGGTTTGACATCAGTCTCACATTGTTGGTGAGACTGATGTCAAATAATAAAAAAATTAAAGCAGCAACATTTATTATAATGATTGATACCTAATTATAACGTACTCATAATAGGCATGTACTTAGCCATTTTTTAACCTTATAGATGGTTAATTTAATTACAAACGCTAATCAACAAAGCGTTTTTTTTTTTATTGAAATTTGAAGCACCTGTAAAAGCGATCATCACGATAAGGTGTTAAATCCTCCTTCAGCTCGTTGTAGGCCTCTTTTATTTTCCTGCAGAAGTATTTCAGCTCGCTGTACAGAGGGTTTTCCAATCCGGAGGAGTAGTCTGTGTCCATCATTCCACCGAGCTCTTTTTTATTTTACGCCTGAAAAATGGCGACGAGGAAACAATCCGCGGCCTTCAGCAAATAGCTCCCAATAGACCTGTCTGTCTGGTGTTGTTGTCACGTTTATTTAAAAGTGCAACCGCAGCTGCTCTGCTTAGATCGCGTCATAATAAAAAGACAAAAGCAAAAATGTGTCAAAATGAAAAAGGGGGCGGAAACACGCAGCTAACACACAGGAGGAAGATCACGTGATCACAGTTCAGGACCACGGACAGTGACGGGAATTAGCGTGGGTTATGATGCTCCACCTGGGAGAGTGTCCATGGAGGACTTACACATTTCATTAGATATAAGATTAAACAAACCGTTTTATTCATTCTATTAATTCAATGTGTTAATATGTGTATTATATTCTTCTATTTAAATTTAGGCATTTTATAAATGTTATAAACATGCTATACTGCACACACATAAATATATAGAGAGAGGCATTTCAACAATGAGTGCCATATACATGATAGATAGTTAACAGATCTACATTCTTAGGTCATAAAATCATTATATATATATATATATATATATATATATATATATATATATATATATATATATATATATATATATATATATATATATATATATATATATATATATATATACATACATACATACATACATACATACATACATACATACATACATACATACATACATACACATATATATATACATACATACATACACATATATATATATACATACATATACACATATATATATATACATACATATACACATATATATGCATACATATACACATTTATATATATATACATATATACACACATATACACACACACACACACACACGTATATAAATATAAACAGCAAAATCCTTCGTCATCTTTGCCATTGATTGGCTGCTTCCATGTCCCAAATACCTCGTTTTCCAGCCACTTTTGTTGAAATTTGCATTTTTCCATTCTGTAGCTTTTTCTCCACCTCAAGCTTCTTTTCCGAACACATGGCTTTAAGATCAACCGGAAGCAGTTCTGCACAAATATATTATTGATATATATCTGACAAAACAGTTTTATAAACATATTTTCTTTGTTTAAATAAAGCATTTTAAATGCCACGATAATCACAATTAATGAATTTTAATGCCAATTAAGGCCTTAATTTAAAAAAATAATATTTTAATGACTTTTAATGACCCGCATGAACCCTGATTAATGCAAACACTTAAAAACCTAAACTGAACTACCTGCTCTTTCGCTTCTTGTAGAGGGCCTTACAGGTGTATTTCCAAGTCTAGGTGAAACACTAAGATATTTACACTCCTCCACTTCTACTCCTATCGTGGTAATAGTGTTTGGCCTGTTTCTCTTGAATCAGCGCCTTTGTTTTATTTACATCAGGACGAGATTAATGTTACACATTGTTCCACAAAGCTTCAGGTTATTGTCCAACTCTGCTTCACTACAAAACCAGTCATCTGAGTTTTTCTGCAGATATCAAGAGTCTGTCTTGTACTTTAGTTTATTTTTGTGTTAAAAAGTGAGAGTACAGACCCATTGTGGTGTTCCAGTGTTGCTGGCTACACAGTTCCAAATTTGACCCTTTGCCTGAACTATAGCAAAAGGACCTTCAGTTATAATAAAAAAAAGAAAATTGTATATCAAGAAGCAAGGCACGATGTTCTCTCAAACAATGACATTTTTATTAAAAAGATGAGTGACATATGAGTGACATATACAGTTATAAAATAATTTACATGGCATGCCTTACTATCTATTTACGTTCAGTCACCATAGTCATCAGATTCTTTCAAGTGTTTTTGTCAGTTTAGTCTGAACCTGCAAATACATTTTCTAAAGAAAAAGTCCAATCCTAAAATATCTACCACAGTTCATTGGTGGTTTAAAGTGAATGCTTAACCAAGACCAGAAGAAATGCTGAACATCAACTCAGTGAAGACTGTGTGTTTGAATGTGTAGAAGCCATGACACATTTAAATATAATAGATTTAACACTGATGGGATTGACTGCACAGCTGAACACAAACACACCTCGACTGGACACTTACACTAGTCTACCATCTACATTAAACTGGGCACCTACTCATTCGCATCTTTTTTTTTTCTTTTTATAACAATCCAGAGCAAACTCATCCCCAACCCCACAACTTGGGCTACACTCGTTAAAAACAAATCAAAACGCATAAAAAATGTTTGGAAAACTCCACAATATACAGTATGTATAGATACGTTTCATCCTTTCAGAAAATAATCTCATAAATTAAAATCCACAGACCAGCAATCTCAGATACTGAACTAAAAGAACGGTATCAAAACATGGTTGAAAGCAACATAGACATAATTTTCTCCTACAAAATATTGCACAGCTAACACAAAAAAGGGTTTTGTCATGACATGCTTGAGTTTTATTTTTTTGTTGTCTTTTTTTCTTAATTATTCTCTTATCTTCATTCAGTCCCCATTCCTACAACCAACATGCATCTTTTCAAATTCAGGAAAGATTGCCATCAAATGTGATAAATCACAAAAAAAATCAACTATGAAAATACAATTGGTTCTTCCCCTTTGGACTATATTTATTCTAAAATTGCGAGTAGATATTTTGGCACAAATTTCGGTTTAGCCATACAGCACCTTTCCTGTTTTACTAGGCCAAAACACTTTTTTAGCGGAATCAGAAATGAATGCATATATGCCCTTTGCACTTCACCGTTTCCCACGATTAAACAGCTTTACATGTCTCTCAGTTTGCACAGTCAGCTTACGAAGAAGATAGATTTCCTAAGCTTCATTCTTTAATGTAGTCTTATTAGACTGAGTGACGTTTTAGCTTAACAGTTACTCTATGGTGTTACAGCTTCACTTCACACCTGAAATAACACACAGTGGAGCCGAGGTGTAAACCTCTAAGAGCCTCTTAAGTCTCTTTACATCGTTTACCTCTCCAATTTATTTACATGCCTTCTGAGAAGAGTATGAAATGGCAAAGGTGAAATATACAAAAATATTTCCTGTACCATGCTTAGATGTTTAAGTGTGGTCCTAAAGAGCAAAGACTGCTCCCAAATACGTACTCACTTCACAGAAGTGACAACAGGTGACATTATCACTTCATGCCAGAGGTTAAATTGTTCAGTCGAGGCCTTGGCGACTTTTTGCGCCAGTGTCACCAGATGAAGATATTGAAGTATGACGTATGTCAGCCAAAGCTATTCTGTAAACCACTCCCACCTGAATACTCCCGAGGGTACAGCAATATTTCAACTCACCGTCCCCGAATAAAGCCGCTAAGAAAAAAATGGGATGAAAATATCTGAGGGGTAAATATCTTCAACAATAACTATTTTCTTATTAAAAAAAATCCATATCTGGAAAGTTAAACAAAGTGTACATATAAATTATTAAGTAAATCAGGGTGCCTTTTTTTAATCCTTCAAAACAGATTTGATAAAGACCAATGCTTGTTTTCCTTCCAGAAACAGTAAAAAGTCGTAACTTTAGTAGTGCTCCTAAATGATGCATATATCAGCCTAACTTCCAGCCTAAACAGACTGAGATAGAAACAACAGGAATGTAGAGAACAAAAACCTCACCTATGTAACCTCATTTTATAAACTATAAGCAAAAGCAGTTTAATAAAGTAGTAACTGTTTCACTAAAGTTTTGTACAGCAATGGATTTCAGTGCCCAGTAGTACCTGTGCGCTCTGGAAAATGTTATTTAACCTCCAGAGTGTGGTTTTCAAGTATTACTGCTGCGTTTTTAACTGCACTTTAACAATCTTACCTTTCTGAAAAAAAGAACAAAAAAAAGAAAAGAAAGAAAAACGTTCTCTACCCAAAGCAGCATTTATTTGCATGATGATAACCCAAGCTCAGCTCTTTGGCCCGACGTGCTTGGTGGGTGCCACCGAATGCAGAACGGAGCAGATCCAACAAACGCAGTCAATGCTTATTGCACCGTGTTTTGTGGCAGCATTGTGTAGTGCAGTGTGATTGCATTTCCATCTATTCTCCACGGTTGATTTCAGTCTTTTTCTCCAAAATCCATTTTAAGAGTTTAATAATCCCCAAACCAAACAACTGTGCTCCTTCAGCAGGTTGCATTTAAAATTAAGGTATGTTTCAGGGGGTGTTGGTATGAGACATCTCATTTGAGGCGCTGAGTGACGTTGGCCAAAGCCACTGCGAATGCCTGAACTGCAGAGAAGGGGTACTGGAAGTCCAGGATGTAGGCGTTTCCATCAATCCGGCCAAACTGCATCACCTAGAAGGTTTATTGTTTGCAAAAAAAAAAAAAAAAAACGTCATGCTTTTAAACTCCACATGCCAAATATATCTATGGATTATTTATGCCAAAAATATATTTAAGATATGTCCATATCTGACATAGCTCTATTTGAAAATGAAGCTAAATCTCAGGGAAAGAAGTGGAAAGACTAATTCCTGCTTCATATTGCTGGATTTTAAGATTTTCAATTACTTCTTTTCAAGACTAAGGCAACGAGATGGTAGATATAAGAGGTTTAGTCCCATAGTCTGTGGTTAAAGAACATGTCAAACGAAGAGGAAGCAGGCTAGAAGGGGATCTATGTGCTAAAATAAATAAATACAAGATATCTTAAAATTGATCTTTTAAAATAATATATATATTTTAACAGTAAACATAGACATATTTAATTTGACTACATTTTTTTTAATCATTGAATTTAGAAATCAAAATGGAAGAAAACCTCAAATAAAATGGGATTTCAATGTTCTTTCTGTGCATTAAATGCTTCCAGACCCATTTGTTAGAGCTAATTAATAATAATTTCAATACTACCCATAATAATCCTGTCTAGAATTGTTTCCCTATAAACCAGCAGCTCCCTTCTAACACAGCAAAACATGAAGTAAGCAGAACTGAACTCCACTAACCTGCCGGCCCTCCAGCTCAATTTGAAAGTTCTTGGCTGACTCCTGAGTGACTCGGCCTCCAAAGTCCAGCTGGTAGACCTGCGTGGCTTCATTCCACAGAGGCTGCTTGTTGGCCATCACATACACAAACCCCTGGCTGCCAAGTCCTCTGTCCTCCTTCTCATTCGCTTTCCGACATTTGATCTCGTCCAGCTCACTGGCGGCCCTCATATTCCTTTTACTCTTCCAGCCCTTCTTACCGCTCTGGCACTGATTGAGGAGCTCGTCGCCGCTGATGAACAGCTCAGGCTCGCTCTCTGAGCTGTCCTGGAACTCACTGTTGGCAGTGGCCTTGCTCAGCTTCTTTGCCTTCAGTTGCTGTTCCTTCTGTCCCTTCAGTTTCTTCTTGTCTCTTCCTCCCAGCCGTGGGCTGGAGATAAGAGAGTTAAAATCCCCCAAAGCCCTGCCCTCTTTCTTTGATTTATTGCCTTCGGCTAACTGAGACACATTAGCCTCTTCGGCCCGACCGTCCACACGCTTGCGGTTCTTTTTGCCAAACTTCTCCGACCGCTGTGGCACAGGGCTCTCAGTCAAAGACAGCACCTCCTGATAACCCTCCCCTGCTTCTGCCATCGTCTCCTGTAATGCCCCATGGCTCTGCAGTTCTGCTGGTGGTGGAGGAGGTGGAGGAGGAGGAGGTGGAGGAGGAGGTGGTGAGAGAACATTTTTTTCTGCTAATATGTGGGAGGCTTTGGGTGGTAGTGGCACTGCGGGACTGGGCATAGGCGGACAAGAATTATAGGTGCCCCATGGTGTGTGAAGGGCAATGGGGGGGATGGGGATTCCAGCACAAGAAGTTCCTCCAGGATACATGGGAGGTAGAGGACAGCAGGCTAAGTTAGCTAAGCTTGGAGAATAGCCCGGAGATAAGACAAGGGTGGCCTCCTGCTGTGAAAGTGCCACAGGTGCCACCACCTCCTTTGGGGAGGCACAGGGGCGCGGTGACCCAGGGATGGGTTGGAGCTGAGCTCCGGTGTATGCTGTGGTCGGGGGGTACTGCAGAGAGATCTGGTAGCCTGTCGCTGCTGCAGCAGCCTGGAACGACGCTGCGCTGGGGCTGGTAGGAGACTTTGGAGAGAGAACAAAAGGCAATCTGGTAACATCCAAGTGTTGAGCTGGGCTAAGAACAAGGGGGGGAGGTTTGTGTGGTCCAGGGGGGGCAATTGCTGTCCTTTCTTGAGGAATCCACACCTCCTCTGTGCCAGCCGGATCCCACTGATAGGGAGGTGGGCGTTTGACAACAAGCCCTGAAGAATCATTTCCTCCTATTGCCAGGTGCCTGAGTGACTGGCTGAGTGTCTCATCTTCTGTAAATGCTGAGTTAACATACTCAACCCTGTCTCTGTTACCTCCTCCCCCGGCTGCACTACCAGGTCCCTCGAGTGAACTCATTAGGTTATATGATGACTGGGAGGCGAGAGTGGTGGCGCTGTTGGAGTGAACTATAACTGTGCTGTGAGGAGCTCCGTTCCCTGGAGGAAAATCCTGTCTGATAATTGTTCCCCCTGCTATCCCATTAGCACTCCCTGGTGCAGTACCACCGTTACCTGATCCACTGCTGCACTGGCTGCATGTGTATAAGGCTGTTGGCACCCTCTGCTGGAAGGAGGCTGCTAGTGCATTATTTTTAGCCTTGGGAGGCAGTGGTCTTGGTGGTTCCAGCATCTGGGAGACTTTAAGCGCAGCCTCTCGGCTGTTCCTCCTGAGGGTTGCATGGATCAGGCTGCTGTCGAGCCTCTGATTTGGATTCCTGTTCTGATTGCCCACATCAGGGTAGGGAGGCGGATCTCCGCTGGGTATGGAATAGCGAGGTGCAGTGAGTCTATTCAGTGTAGCAGAGGTGTAGGGAAGCTGGATTTTCTTTTCAGCTGCGGATGAGGATGAAGAGGAAGTGACCCTGAGCGTGGCAGAGCTGCCAGGTCCCTGGAGTGTGTAGACATTCTGATTGCAGACAAGGCGTGTTCGAGGACGACATACTTCTTCCACATTTCCACTGCTGTCAAATGTTGTTATCCTTTCATATCCCAAAGGTGTGGGGTACTGCGCCTGCTGCTGACCTGGAGGATAAAGTTTCATGTCTCCTTTCTTCACACAGAGCTCAGCGGGGGGAGGAGTTTCACTGGTGCCAGACGTACTGGAAGCTGCGTTGGAAGCCGACGGAGAAGCAGCAGCTGCAGCGGCAACAGCCGCAGCCACTGTCCCAGGGTAAGGAGGAGGCGGGTTCATTTTGCTGAGCTCCAAAGGAGCACTGAATACAACTGTATCCCCATCAGCCAGCTGGGGAGTCGGTCGAGTGGTTTTGATTTTCAGCAAATGTTCATGCTCCCCGCCCACTGTCCTGTCAACTACTAAATCACCAGGTTGGTGGGGGATTTGGATCTGCAGCTGGTGCAGGGCTGTTCCTGAAGGCTGACCGGATGACATGGACGGGGCGGGGATCTGAATGTGGAGCTGCTGCTGTAGATGGTGTTGTTGTTGAGACTGCAGATGATGATGCATCTGCTGCTGTTGCAGCTGCATCTGTTGGTGTTGCTGCTGAAGTTGCTGTTGCTGCTGCATCTGTATGTGCTGCTGAAGCTGCTGCTGGAGCTGCTGCTGAATGTGCTGTTGCTGCTGTAGGTGATGCTGTTGCTGCTGTAGGTGATGCTGTTGCTGCTGTAGGTGATGCTGCTGGAGCATCTGCTGCTGCTGTTGGTGCTGCTGAACCTGTTGATGATGTAGAAGCTGTTGCTGCTGACTCTGTTGTTGTTGCTGTTGTTGCTGAGATGGATGATGAGATGGTGGAGGTCCAACCATTAGCCGACCCACTTCCAGCCCTCCAAAAATGACCTGACCTGGACTGGAATACCTGGTAGGTACTGTGTATTGGGCTGTCAGGATGGTATCCTGGCTTTGGTCCGACCCGCTGGCAGAAGCTCCAGCAGGGGGTGCTGTTGGATTACTAAGGACATCCAGCTGAACATTCTGATTAGCTAACAGAGACTGGACCAGGCCAATGCTTTGGGCAGGGGACATGGCCTGGGCGGGGCTATGGATGGGGGCAATGGGGATGTTTACAGTACAGGGGGGGTTGTCATCAGAGCCTCCAGCAGGGCCTGTGGCAGGAAGGTCATCTTCATCCTCACTGAAAACATTAGGGCTGAAAACAGGCAGGTTGATATAGTCCATGGAAATCTTGCGCACCTCTGGCAAGTAGATGGTCATCTGTCTGGGTTGCAGATGGAGGAGGCTGGTCTTATAAATAACTAGGACAGCAGAAAAGAAGGAAAATTAGAAAAACAGACAAAGAAAAAGCGGTAAATACCAAATTAACCTAGAGGTTGTTGATGACCTACCTGCACCAAGATTGGTAGGTAAAAATGCTGCCAATCCAACTATCTTAAACTTGGTACCCCAAATATTGGATGTGACCTGAGCGAGGTAATTTTGCTGAAAGATATAAAACATAGATATATTTTGTGAAATAAGGCAAAGAGAACAACATGTGTCATGGCTAGCTGCCTATTTTTTGGCCTCAAAAAGAATCTTAGTTACCTGACTGATGTCGTCTAGAGGAAATTCCCTCCGTGACAAACTTGGAGAACCAATTGAGGGCTTCCTTATAGGTAAACGAGGCGACCTAGAGATCTCTTGCGTTGCCCGGGACAGCTTGGGGGACTTTCTGGGGTCTATATTTATCCTGTTGGTAAAGGGACAAACTAAGTCTCTACAGAGAAGGTAGCAAATAAAAAAAATAAGGTTTAGGCATGCAGTCCAAAAAAAAACAAAAAAAAACAAGTTTCCACTTTAGGTTTTCATTTAGTAATAGCCTGTCATATGTGTCCTTTTAAACATTTTCTTAAGCTTTGAATGCATCACTAACATACAAAATGTAAAAAGATTAGACAAAAACTGAATTCTGCATCTTTCATTCAAAATACAACACGTGGCAGAAAACGCGCACAATGCACATTTCTCTGCCTCCACCCTGAGCCCATGAAACATGGCAGCATCGGCAACATGATCTGTGGATGCTTTTCTGCAGCAGAGCAAGATAAGATGGTCAGGGTTGAAGGAAACATGGGAAGCTAGTCAAAGACACTAAACATAGAGTCAAAGAGTCAATAGGAGCGGGTTGGAAGAAAGCACATTTTATGATTAAATTGTTCAAAGTTCAAACCTAAAACCAGACAAGAATTAGTTTTAATCAGTGTGAGGCCTAGAAGCCTGCTCAAACAGCTCAGATTCCAGATATGCAAATCTGCCAGATACAAACACCAAGAAACTTGCAGCTTCCACACTGGTTCTGGAGTCTGCGATATTCCACTGTTATTTTGGCTTTTGTCAACATTATAACCAATATAAAATCTTTGATTCTTAGAATATTCTGGACTATATCATCCTAGATTTAACAGGTATCCTTTCTTGTCAGGGTTTGTGAGCTCCTATGTTTTGAGTTAAGCCTGAAATTTTAATATTAATCCCGAAATAATTGACAAAAAATGTTTTTCAAATAATCTATAGGACAATAAAAAAATTTAAAGTGCCCAGGTTTTGCTTCTGATGTGATCGAAGGGAACACCTGCAAATTACTTAAAAAAAACTAAATGGAAATGGTTTACACAGATAAATAACATATGACAAAAAATGAATCTCTCTCTTGTGATATCTAGAAGGAATTTCTACCAATACGCAAGTCAGGTGTCTTGCTGAGTTACCTGGGAAGTTTAGGAGATTTGCTTCCTCTGGATATCTTGGGAGATTTCTTGCCGACCCAGTCATCATTAAGCTCAATGTCACTGGAGTCTGAACAGTTACAGCTGTCTATCATGGCTGATATCAGACTGTTGCTGTAAATCTCATCTGACGAAACAAAATGGCATGAGACAAAGTTTACTAAATTTGCATCTAAACCAAGGGAAAAAAGACTTTTACTCTATGAATAGGTTGACACTATACTGGAACAAAGAAGATAAACATATAATTCATCCAAAGAAAATTCAGACAGTATTTTCTTTATACCATTTCCAAACATATTACCCTCAGAAATGCTTACATTTTCAGAATAAAATAAAAAAAAATATTATAATATTCAGCATTCAAACAGTTTCTTGTTATTGCTTTGCTTTTTCTCCATTTTGTTTTAACACACATATAGATCAGACATCTTATAAAACTCTTTCTGTATGTGTAACTGAAGAATGTTTAAAATGTTTCTGTGATTCATCGAATAAGCTCCATCATTATTTTAATGAATACACAAAATTTTAAAAGTTATTGATAGAAAACACATGGGGGCCTCACCTGTTTTCCCATCTGTTTTGGGGTCCATAATGACAAACTCAGGGCGCAGCTTGCTTATCCGTCGTCCCTTCAGAATAGGTACCAGACCCCCCAAGTACTCCAGGTACAGCGTATAGCATGGCCCTCCCACCTCTGGGTTATCCTCCGTACGTTTCATGGTGCAGTGTAGTCTCTCATTCCCAGATGTCGGGTAGCTCACAAAATCCCGCATGTTGTTGGGATCCGGGATGGGTGGCTGGAAATATGACGTTTGATCGGTGAAAGAATCAACACCACAGAGTTGTGATTTGCCGAGTTAATCAGTTGCAATCATCAGCTGAATGTTAACTGAGCCCTTCACTGTACTTTCACTGAGCTGACTGAATCCTCCAACAAGTGTTACCTTGATGGTGGGGGCGAAGGCAGAAGTGACGTAAGTACAAAGCCGGGATGGCATGGTGAGCTTGCCGACATCTTTTTCCTCCTTTACTGCTGTGGCGATGACCTGCTGGCAGAGGAGCTGCAGCGCTGCGACCCGGTGATCCACGCGGACAACGTAGAGCGCCGGGCCAGATGCCAGGAACAGACGCGAGTCCCTGTGACCCCAACAGAGCGTGGTGATGGGGCGCTGCAGGGGGAAGGAGAAGAATGGGACAACGTTTAGACTCCTCATTTATCAGGTTTAAGTTTCATCCCTTCCTCCGTATATTTATAAGGGTGTATAAGGACCTGGCAATAAAAGAGAAACGAATAGTTGTCAGCAGCCATGTGTAAACTGCTGATCATAAACCTGAAACTAATGCTAAACAAACAAAACATTCAATAAGAAAGTGTTTTATTTTAGCCATTTTAAAGCTTATAGTTTAGATCAACATGCTGAGACAGCCGTTTCTGTCCCCTGGTTCCCAGCATGATTGCAGGATAACAGTAGTATAGTAAACTGCATCATTGTTACAAACATAAAGAGGGAGTGAAAACTTATTTCTCTTAGTTATAAAATAAAAAGATTTATAAAAAGCAGCATTGTTGTAAAGCTGTTTTACAGACACAATCATTTTAGTTAGAGCTGATTATAAGCTCTAAATTAAAAAATGAAAAACATTTAATTAATTCTCAGATTGCTTTGCTGGAGGCTGAAATTGTGTTTGGATTAGATTAAATTAAAAACAGTAAAAAAAAAAGAGCCTTTCTTATTACAAATTTCTGCCACCTGCTATTACTGCTACTTAAACACATGGGGGTAAAATACCTTAGCTTCCATATTAAATCTCACCTGTGCTGGTGTGTCTAGTGAGTAGATGTGATCTCCTTGAACATTGTAGAATTTGACAATAGCGCATTTGGTGGGAGGAGAGCAGGGAGTGTCAGCAGAGAGGAGGACTGTTTGCTCCATCCCTGCCACCGCCAGAAGGTCCCCCTGAGAGCACCACTGGGCCACAACATCTGCAGCACATAGAAAAGAAAAGAAATATTTGTTACTTTAACGTGAAATTAAAGCCACTGTAAGCAATGGCTAGACATTCATTTAGACAAAGAAGGGAGAGGAAATCAAATATGAAACAGTAGGGGAGCATTAATGCAACTCTTGGACCAAAAACGCACCTTTCAGACCGGTTCGGATCAGGGTAGGTGAGAGGTCATCGTAACTATTCATCAGGCTGATGTCTCCAGAGGTGAAGCTGACTGTCAGAAGTGGTTTCTGGCTGTGTACTGCGAGGACATAAACCACAACAAAGACTTTTAAAGAAGGCTTATGGTGCATACTGCTTTATAAACAAAGAAAAAAGGACAAAATCACTCAGCTAGACAGACAACTGCATATTTAAATTCAGCGTAGCTCAGTATTAATGGGTCATTAATTATACAATGACAAAGCCACCTGGCAGGAAGAGACAGATCTAGAGTAGTTTATTCTCGGTCCAGTTGTCAAATTGAGAGATTTTCTATGTGAGGCAAACAATTTCTATTGGATGGTTTAATTATCGAGTTAGAGCATAACCAGCATTTCTGATGAGTTAAGCACTTTTCAGCTTCACCACTTGGCCTGTGGTGAAGAGAGGGAAAGAAAAAAATGGCAGAGCGGTAGGAGAACAGCTCATGAACAAAACAACATTTGCAACTCGGGAGCAATTAGGATGAAAGGAGATAGAAGCCTGAGCTTGTGTCGGAGGTGGAGTGATACCACCTAGAAGTAGTCGGGCTCTTCTCCACACATAGGATGACCATTGCAGCAATCCCCAAACCCTGGTGGTGGCACCAGCAGTAAGGGAGTCAGAAGGAGTCTTATCGAGCCTGGCTGGCTCAAGAAACTCCTGAAGCAGCAGGTAGGTATCATGAGGCAAAGCTTGCCACTGCCCTGGTGGTTGCTGGGGGAAAAAACACGGGGCTAGGAGGAATTTGAAGAGGCCATAGCCTCAAAGTGATTGTGGTGCTTGATGCTGCATTTGTTCATCACCCATGTTGAAGTCACTGAGGTGGTCAAAAACTCAACGGTGGGATCGCTTCAGGGGTGGATCAGATTCACCCCGAGTACCTCAGAGCTCTAGATGTTATTGGGCTGTTGTGGCTGACACGACTCTTCAAAATCGTGTTGAGGTGGGGGACAGAACCCCTGGATTGGCTGACTGGGGTGGTGGTTCCCCTGCTTTAAAAGAGGGACAGAGGGTTCCAATTATAGGGGAATCACATTGGAATGCTGTTCCAGGCTTGTTCCACCGGGAGGAGGCCCAGGCGACGACTCACAACACTCTGGAGGGAATATGTCTCTAGGCTGGCCTGGGAGAACCTCTGGCTTTCCCGAGCAGAGCTGAAGTAGGTGTCTGCAGAGAGGGAAGTCTGGGAGTCTCTGCTGGGACTGCTGCCCAAGCGACCCGGTCCCGGATCAAGCGGATGGCGATGAGTACAAGTACTAGTGAACTGCATAAACCTAAAAGAAAATCTAATGTCTGAGTGCAGATTTTAAATTCAGCCTTAAGGTTAAGAAATGCACGTTCAATGCTTTTTCTGTAAATTATATAATTTTGGCCTGTTTTTTTTTTTTATTCAAGTCTAAGTTGACTAGATTCAATGTATGAGATGAATCTATTTCGCTAAGACTTTAAAGAATAAATGCAGCTAAACGTGTCTCTTTATGAGCAAATGGACAACTGAGGGTGTTAATGCATAAGTATGTAGCTAAGCAAGTGAGGATCAGTTTTCTGCTCTGATAAAGGTCTGAGAAGCCTACCTTTGGGTGGAGTGTAATCGTCAGAGTCTGTGTCACTCTCACTGCTGTCCTCCACCAGGAAGCTGGGGTAATTCCACGACATGCTAACAATGCCGTCAGACTCATGCAGCAGTATGTGGGCCAGCATTCGCCCATGGCAGTCCATGACTATTACCTGTCCGTCTGCCGTGCCAAACAACACCTGAGTAGAGAACAACCACCATTAGTGTTAAGGTGTTACTGGTGGCTAAAAGGGACACACTCCGAGAAGACGAATCTGCCAGAGCAGATTACATTTTTAAGTAAAGCAAAAAAAACAAACAAATGTTGCTGTTATTTAAAATTAATCATCTAGCCTTTCCCGTTCTCAACTGTCTCAATACTTTAAGCAAAAACCCAGTCTGGAAAGTAAAAACTAACATTTCTATTACCATAAAATTGGACATTGCAGATGTAAAATAGTTTTAAGTTTGAGTTTGATTCTCCTCATAGTAGCAAAGAAACCTGCTTTACTTCAAACTATATTTAGATAGCATACAATCAGCTAGGAAACCACAGGATTTTCTCTTTAACTCACGTCCACAGCTGCCACAGCGGTTAAGGTTCTCCCTGCAGCGTATTAAATAGACCACTCTGAACTTAGCATAAATCTGTTGGACATATTTGCTGTTCCTTAGTGTAAAGCAGCATAAATAAACACTTATAGTGAAAAATTAACAAAAGGTTTTTATTCTCTGTGACTCTGAGAGGCTGGAATGAAGAATTGTTGTTGGCTGGGTAGTTAAAACACACATAAGTCGTATTCCTAACAGGTAGAATCCTGAATCCCCTTAAATAAAACCTGTCTGACTACATGAAACCTAAACTCAGTGGGCGACATTTTCTGGAAACAAAGAAAACATGGAGCAGTGGTGAATATTTCCATAAGGTCCTGGCCAGCTGTCAAGATTACTCTAAGAGCAAAGACAATTCATGATGGAGGTCACAAAAAAAGCACTGCAGACCTCACTAGTGTCAGTTAAGTTTGTGTTTATAAAGAAAGGTGCAATGCACAAGTGGCCTCCATTAGATTTTTAGGCAAAAACCAGTTTTGATGGTCAAGATTATGAAGACCCCTCTGGTCTGAAAGGTGTCTACCCTGCCACATCCAGTGGGAAGGGCTGAGCTATTTGGCCAAAAATCAAAATAGGTTATTTTTTTACTAACAAAAGTTACCATTGCAGTTTTATTTTGATTTTCCTTTGTTGCTAACCACAAGCATGTAGATGTTTCACTCCTAGGTTTAATCGTTTTTATTACCTTTAAAGTTTGCCTTTTTCTGAGTTCATTGTCCTAAAACATTCCTGTTACATTTCCTATACAAACATAAAAAATGGTAACGTCTACTGGCATACATGGATCTGCTTGCTGCTTCTGTGACTGCACTTAAAGGGCAGTGGGGAAAACACTGATCCAACCAAATTAATCAAGTTGCCGGGTTGAATAAATCGAGTTGGGCAAACTTAATGATTTTTTTTACCAATTGTAGAAATGCCTTCTAATTGGAGCTGCATTCTCTTCATAGAGTGAAAGAGTTTTTTTCATTGCTCATTGCCTCTCATTTTAGAGCAGTAATTGGAAGATTTTAATGTTTTTTGTTTTTTTTTACGAAACTTGCCATAAAAAGCACATAATTGTCCAGTCCAACTGGAAGGAAGGCAACACAATATTTAAAAGAAATAATAACTTCACGCATGCAGGCAGACATAATGGTAACAGTGTGAGTGTGGGGTTTCTTCTTTATGTTACCACATCTTATTAATAGCAAAAACTCCTGATGTATCGGCCCTGTATTTTGTGACCTAAAGCTTGAGCACACAACCAAAGGTTCCAATCTAAACATTTTGGAATGGCCTAGTCAAAGTCCAGATTAAATCTCAGATGCAGCAGAATGGCCTTATTAGGGAATTCATGACTGGAAAACAACCTATGTGCCTAAATAGAAACCATTTAAAATCTCATAACTAGTTACAGCAATGCTTTTGAGATGTAAGATGGCATTGCCACAGGAGACACAGGCAGTTATTAGGTTAAGGAGGAAATTATTGTCTTCCCCACATATGGCCAGGTTGTTTCAGATTGTTTTGTTTTTTCTTTACTCCCTTAAACAACATAACTTTGTTTGGTATTAATAAAGCATCAAATACAATTAAATAAAAAACTAGTAATAATTTTTTAATCTGTTTATTTATTTAGATATTTTATTCCTATAATGTATATTACAAGAAGCCACAAAAAAACAGCATATAAAGAATCAAGTAGCTTAAAAAAAGAAAAAAAGAGAAAATGAAACTTCATATATTCATGTGCAGGATTACCTGCTGGTCATCAGGAGTCCAGATCCCACAGGTAATCTGGCTTTCGAGGTTGATCTCAGAAGACCAGTGTCTCTGGCCGCTGACAGAGCCCACCAGGACGAATCCATCACGGTACGAGATGAGAGCCTGCGTTCCATCATGCGACCAGGTGAAGTCACTCACCTACAGAGATCATTACATATCAGTGAAAATTTGAATTTTACTGTAGAGTCTGTGGGAAAGAAGCAATAAATAAAAAGTGGGTTTTATTCTAAATTTATAGACACTTTAATTATTAAAGATTTAAACAGAACTGTTATCGTCATTATAACAAGTATAAATGCAGCAATCTCTGTCCTTTTACCTGAGCGCCACGGTCATTAACGAGCTCCACAGACCAGCGACCTTCATACTGAATCCAAACAAAAATTCCTCCGTCTGTGTCACATGTGGCCAACTTCTGGAAAGGCTCATTCCACCGCACCAATACCACCTTAAATAAAACAATAGTAGTTAAAACTCAGAGTTATAGTGACAAGTATAACCTTCAGACTGATAAAAGAGAGGTTTTTTTTTTTCCAAAAGGCACTTTATAACCTCTTACCCACTATATATAAAACAAAAGAGTTTGATCAAAACACTCGTGCATGTGAAATCTGCTCAAAATAACCATCAGTTGAAGCCTAAAGAAGCTGAAAAGACACATTGATCTTCACACTATTTGAAAGTCTAAATTTAGAATCATGTTAGACGAAAATGGAAAAAGTAGATTAACCTCATTTGGAGAAAGGCTCGAAGGAGCTGTTAATATCCTACATGATATAGACAATAAGCTCTGATACCATATTCTGTTTAAGCCACAGTAATAAAATAGAAGCTGTAAAGTCCAACTCAAACACATACGGGTTTATGTTTTTCCTCAGAGATTACACACGTGTTATCATAGCCTTAATGTGTGAGAAGCGGGCAGGGGATGCATCAAACCCTGACCGTCAGTAGTTAATGACAAGCTTCTCCGTCATCGTCCTCATCACATCCCTCTAAGTGCTTCCAGTTTCTCTCTGGACTTGTGCACGGTGACTCAGCCTATTCCCAACAGAGTAATCCTAAGAAAAGAGCAGCTCCGCTCACTGAGGGAAACACGTGGACTTTACATGCTCCAGTACACAACACAGGCCGTGGTTTTAGTTCAGCTTAGCAGAGGTGCACCATCCAGAACCGGGAAAGTAAAAAGTCTGTATATAGATCAATTCTTCCACCCATTTGCATTTCCAGCCTCACAACATAGAAATGAACAACTGGTTAAGTGACCGAGACTAAGGGAGGGAGGTAAAGTATTAGTTTGTGGACCTGGAATGTCCAGCTCTGCATCTTAGTAACTCAGATGAGTGAAAGTTCTTAGGTCAGTCAGTGACAGTTATTAGAAAAACAAGTCATGGTCTCAAAAAGAGAAAAAAAAAAAAACTGCTTTCTTGATTAGAAAATGTCCTTCATGGTTTAGACGAGTCTCTCCTCCAACCCAGCTAAGTTACCTCACTAATATGCCATCAAATAAGTTCTAAAGAACAAGAGATGGATATCCATGCCTTATGCTTTACACCAATCTACCCATTAACTAGAATTATTATCTAAAAGAAATAATATAAATATTATTATTCTATTGGGAAAGCACCCCATTAAAAAAAAAAATCAATAGAACAGAATATAATATAATAACATTTTGAATACAAATATTTGAATAATTAACAAAAAAAAAACAAAATAAAAAAAAACACCACAAATATATATGACAGGAAAATATATATGCAGATCACCTATTGCAGTGTAAAAAAAAAAAAAAAAAAAGACAATTCACAAGTTCAGAAATATTAAGAGGAAGTAAATCAACAGAAGGCTCATCCCCGGCTGCACAACACGTGTACTTGCACTTCCAACGAGGTGGCATCAAACAGTGAATGGATGTAAACTTAGCTCCGTGTGAAGATTAGAGTATGGTGCCACCTGAGCAGCTCTCAGTGTGACGCAACCATCAGGGAGATCAGACGTCACATGGAGACAGACAGGAGAAACCGTGCAACCAAGAGATGGAGAGATTACAGGAGCGGCGAGATAGCCACATGCAAACCCGACACCTTCGTCTGCGTACTCATGATATTCGTGCTCATGCACACCTTGATAGATCTTGTCCAAACAGTACAACACAAAGGCCAGCAGCACATGTATAGAGACAGTATAATCTACTTTGAGCTACTTAGAAGAGATAACATTTACTGGAGCTGCACTAGGGTTGTTGATATCTCCCTATCTGCACAAAACATTTGGACCAATAGTTGATCAATCAACCACAGAAATGAACTCAGTATCTTAATGACTTTATTTAACTACTTTTAGAGAATACAAGTTGAGCTCAACAAAAGTCATGAATGGGAAAACAGAATTTTTGCTCTGAACATTCCCAACTAACCAGCAATGTGAAATTGGCTGAAACTGGGAGTGCTGGCCTAGTGGGTAAGGCCAATTTATACTTCTGACGCATAACCTATGCAACTGTCAAATCTGTCTCTGTGCGCAACCACACCCCCAGCGCACGGGCTCTGCAACCGTTGTCGCACACCTCAAAAAAATCCTGATTTTTCAAGCTGCCTTCGTGGTCGTCCTTTGATTCTGTGATGGGGTGTGGCGTTTTTTTCTCGCAAGTTCTCGATTAGGCTCCCCCTAGCGTGTTGGCGGAAAACTTCTGTGCATCCCTAGAAAATTCCAGACCGACGTTGCAAGCCACATTTGATGTGTGAGGTTGTAGAAGAATAATCCGCCCTTTAAGCTGCTGTCACACCTTGACGATTTAGACCAGCGTGTGCCTGAGGTACAATAAATCTGGCAAAAATGCTGGCATACGTTTAGGGCTGCAACAACGAATCGATAAAATCGATAAAAATCGACTTTTAAAAGCGTTGGCAACGAATTTCATCATCGATTAGTTGTGTCGCGCGATTATTGCGTCATCCGCCGCGCCGTCATCACTGCCTCTTGACTGAAAGAGGAAGAAAAAAAAATACGGCAGAGCGAGTCAGCGCCGCAGGTGCAGTGTTGCCAACTCCGCGACTTTTCAGACCCCTCCAGCGACTATTTTTCAAAAAAGCGACTAGCGACAAATCTGGCGACTTTTTTCGGTGTCACTGGCGGCTTTTGGAGACTCTTACGTGAAAGCATGTATCGTTCCTACTCTGCCGTGGGGCGCCTCCCCCACACCAACCGCGTTTTCCCGCAGTAGTCCCTCTCAGTCAGAGCCTCAGCGTCCAGACTGCAAATGAAGCGCGCATGCACCGGGATTGACGGCGCAAATTGATCACAATAATTAAAATAGCCTGTGCTTTGTAAAGCGAAAAAAGTGATAACATGCAACTTTTTTCAAAAGAAATTAACATGGCACGGAACCACCATGTTTGTTTGGTTTTAAAGTGGGGGAAACATAACGTTAGTTTCTCAGGTAGCTCATCTGATGCTTTCCTTACCTACCTACAGACAGTTACTTACAGACAGTGATAAGGTTGGCTACTTATTTTACTTTTAATTTCATTTGAATTAGCTTAAGCAGCGTTTATATTTACTTTATAAATAAATTAACTTGCAAATTATGAGGGCAAGACTTTTAAAGTTTAAATCTTCTGGCAAAGATAAAGTAAAGAAGATCCTGCAATTTATAGAAGTAAAGCAGAATAAAATCCAGCAAGATCAGTAATATGTCAATTAATTATCTGCCACATTCCCATGTAAATATCTGTCTTTGGAGGATGTGTTTTTTAGCACCCCTAGTTCTCTCATTTTTATTCCAAATACAATTTATAATTTGAATCACAGGGCTATTTTTATCTCTATGGTTCAGTATTTTCTCAAGTAGCAACTTTAACTGCTGTACTTTCCTGTCTTAAAAGGCAGAACTCTTCTAGTCTAAAAAAACTCATTTGTTGAAATGGGGGGGCCTATTGTTTGAACCCCTTAGAGGCTTTTAAAAACAAAAATTTCTTTTTATGCGCTTTATGAAACAAAGTACCCTATATTTTGTGGATGTACAGCTACATTTCTCATGTAAGTTTGCGTAGTTTTAACACAAACATTTATTTTTCATATTGCACCAGTACAGTTAATGAGCAACCTGTACTTGTGTGCTTGTTTGTTGTGTCTAAAATGTTTATTTTGGAATAAAGAGGTTAATATAAAAAATATATTTTGTCCGATTCATCGATTAATCGAAAAAATAATCGTCCGATTCATCGATTTTTAAAATAATCGTTAGTTGCAGCCCTACATACGTTGTATAAGTTATATGCACGCTGAAGCACGCTAGAACACGCTGAAGTACGCTTGCACACATCGACATATGGTGACGTGTGCCAGTGTATGCCATACTTGGGGCATAAATTACAGGTAAGCTATCTAATCGTTGACATACGTTAAGTGTTAGTTACTCATAAGTCGTGGTGTCCAGCTTATCCCAAACTTATCAATAACTTGTGCTTAACTTATGCATAACTTATCTCCAACACTTATGAACGTATTTGACGTGTTCCAGACGACCACTGAACGTGTTTCTAAAGGCTGATTTATACTTGAAGATGGACTAGCAAGAAGAGTGAGGTGCGCTGGGACCCTTTTTCCACCTGGATCCCCGCTGTTTTCGCCGTCATGCCCCTCCGTTGTCGGTCAAACCCTCCCCCACTTCCTCACCGCCTCCGCCGTATCTAGACCCACAGCGAATTGGGCATAAAGCAAAAATGTCTGCGTCAAGCTCACTGAGACACACTGCTGTGGTGAGTACAACCAGCGCTTAACTTACAGCTACTGTTTAATGGTATGAAAGAAGGTTCACAGGAGGAAGCCCTCATAGGGTGAGCGTGAAGATGAGTGTGATGGATCCTCCCTGCGTTCCCACCCACGGCCACGACCAAGAAAATTCCTAGCAAACATTACGCTGAATCTGCTGCGACTGCAAACCTTCTTACTTTCTTGTTCTTTTTTTTAGCGGGCGGTAAACAGCAGCTAGGCTAATACCGAGATCAAATAAATCTTTTTATGCAGGCCGGGTGCCACTGCGAGCATCCCTGACCCCCTCATGACACTGGCTTGTGCATCATTTCATGGGCATTACGCTGCTGTGAGTTATGCATAAGTTAGGCTGTTGTTGGACCTAATCACGGACTCGCTATGTATACGCCCAAAATTGAAAAATTACATAGAAAGTTCAGTGTATGCCAGCATTTTAGGAGATTCTGGGACGTCAGGCAAAGGCTGGCAAAATTCGAGAAGGTTTGACAGGGCCCTTATAACAGTGCGCTTGTTCTCTGAGAAGGTTGAAAGTACCTGGTTCAATCCCCACAGCCTCCACTCTGAGTCTCTGAGCAAGGCCCTTAACCCCACACCGCACAATGGCAGCCCACTGCTCCCCAAGGGGATAGGCTAAATGCAGAGGTAAATTTATCCAGTGTGAGATCAATA